AAAGATAGCAGTCATAAATAAGGTTTAAAAAATCTTTCAAATATCTAAAAGGTAGTTTTGTTATTTGAAATTTAATGGATCAGTGCTTTTGACTTTTCATTATTAGACAGCAGTATATGTGAAGAGTTGCAGGTTGCTTCCTGACTTCTTGATATGTTATCACCAATTAATTGAATTTAGAGCGAAATCAGGAAGAAATTGGAATAAAAACTTATGGTTGTTTAAGCGAAAAATTATTCAGGTAAATTTAAACAGCACGTTACGTATTATTAGTTTTTAACTAAAATTCTGCTGACTTTCAACAAAATAGTCATCTTACAGTATCTAAGAATGACTTTAAAAAATTGTTCTTGTTCAAAAGACTTGTGCAGTATACTGTCGATAAATGTAGGTGCATACACGTCTTAATCATAACGTTGAGCAACCTTTCCAGTGACTGCTATCCTAAAATTGAAAAACTAAAATCAAAAAAATGACCACATAAATAAGTAGGTAAAAGAGAAATTCAGAGGGAGCGGTGGTAAAGTTAGAAAGAAAAAGAAAAAAAAAGATGATGAAAAAAGAAAATCAATTAGGTATGTTAAAGTTCCTAATCTAAAAAAATTGCTTCTAAAAAATAAAAAAAATCTTTCTTCATCATAAATGTGCAGGTTTTGATTATTTGCTCTTTCAACAAATTCGTCAATACTAATATCATCAGAGGTGAGGACAGGAGAAAAAGACAGTTTAGGTGTTTTAGAAGCAGTCGAGACGAAGATGGAATGAATAGGGTAGAAGAACTCAAAGTAGAAAGTATTTTCAAACTTGGTGATCTAAGCATATCTTTATCAGTTTTGGTAGTTATTATAATTGTTTATTGTTGCTGTTAAGTTTCATCATTCTTTTACGTCTTTAAGAACAACACTTCTCAAAGCAGGTTCAAGCTAATAGAGAACTTTTACCATAAATAAAAAAGAGAAAAAAAATGTCTTAGAATGTTAATTATTAAAACAATATTGGTATCACAAATTAGCCCAAAAAAATGCAGACAGTCAAATTATGGATAATTAGTAATTTGTGATATTTTTGCACGAAAACATCGTTAGCAGTTAAGTTTGAAAGTTAACTGAGAAGGATAATTCAAAATGAATGATTGCCAAGAAGCTCAGCAAAATGTCACCGTATTGAAGATGTCAAAGATGCTTTTAAAAATCTGTGGAATGTATTTCAGAACTTATTTTTGACTTTAAAAATGAATTGTTGATAGTGATTAGGATGATGTTGACGATAATGCCAATAATCATGACAGTCACAACGCAAGAAAAAGTTTGTTCTGAACAACAGCAAAAAAATGACTATGAGTGATCTTGTTGATGACAATAATGCAACTAAATATATAAATGTCGATATTTTAAAAGATATTTTTATATACTGCATGGTAAAAAGAGCAGAGTAGCTATCCAACTAACTATTAAGACAAACAGACAACTAGCTGACATTAAACGTAATTGCCAAAGTTTAAATTTCAATGATCATTTAGCTGGTAATTTGACTGTCTGTGCAGGAAGTGCAGCGTAAAACGGAAAAACTCAATGATATATGCAATTTCTTAACTACTTTAAAGACCTTCCGCCAATGTATTTATTACCATTTTCATGCTTCTTTTTTTCCAACCAATTTTCTCTTTTTGTTTATTTTCAAGCACCCTCAGCTTCTTACCGTTATTGCCGGTGTTGCCGTGTTTTTCGAAAGTTTTTTTCCATCTGACAGTGTTAATTTCTGTTATTATTCTTATGCTTATTGTCATTATTTTCGTCCTTATCATTGAGTATTACTGATTATTGATTCGAAAAACACAAAATTGGGTTTAAAGAATTTGCAAAAAATAGCTAAACACCTTCAATTCCTGTAAAGCCACATTAATTAAAGCATTAATTATTGAGTCGCTAATTCTGATTATGAACCAGCAGAATTAATTTTAAAACAATTATCTCTACTCTTATGTCCTTTTTTTTTATCGCTCACAAAACTATTGATTTTGAATAGCAATTACGTCAGATATAAACACACTTCATTACCCTCATGCATCACCAGACATCAGGCCATCGACGGAAACAAACGAGGATAATAACCGACAATAAAATACGTCCATAAAATGTCACAGACAAACAAACACACAACTGCACTCGAGCATCCCAGACACCAGACAAACAGTTGCTCTGCTTCAACTGATACACGTAAACACTCAAATATATAACGTACCCAAACGACATTATAAATAAATAAATATATATATATATATATATATATATATTATATATATATATATATTTATTTATTTATATTAACACATTTATATTTATTTATTTAATTATTTATGTAGTTGCATATGAAAGTAGAATGCGGCCTTCTACGATCAAAAGTTTTTTATTTACATACGATACTCGAAGACCAACAGCAAAACTACATTTCTTAAAGTTTGTCCACTTCTTTTTCTCCTTCATAGCCCCACCACTACCACCATCACCATGACCATCATCATCAATCCACTTATCAATAACATCACCACTATCGCCTGATAGTCACCATCCAGTGACGTAAAACCAGGATCAGATCATTGACGTAGAAGAAGTAGGTGGAGCAAATGAAAGAATGCTCAGTAAAAGCAACAGCTAAGTAGCTTGCCAAAGATAGATACAACTGCACATAAGCATATACATACATACATACATACATACATACATACATACATACACACATACATACATAAATGCATACATACATACAAACCATATTGAGCTTCTCGATTCGAGCTAACCTTGTCGGTGGAATTTATCATCCAGCAGAAGCGTTAAGAATGGTTGCCTGCATTTAATAACATACCAACGACTCAACCCAGCATTCCTTCTCTATCCTCATCATCCTTACTCGCCTTTCCTGTATCCGCCTAGCCCATATAATCCTCCCTTTCCTTTTTTCATCCTCCATCGCTCGCCGCTTTTTCAACCAAGAAACCACACAACATAAGAATTCTTCTCGCTTTTACCACTTCAGCCTAGCCTAAATCCCTCTCCAACGTAACGACAACGCCATTAACAGAGACAACAACAGCAATACCACCGCCAACAGAAGCAGCAACAGCAGTGACAACAGCAATAGCACACGCATACCCGCTCCCCGCTTCACTCGACACTCTCGCACGCACTAACTAATTTAGCTGGGCTTGATTTAAGAAAGCGCAGAACATTTTTTCAGCCCAACATCATGGGCTTTGGTTGCTTCATCGTCACAGCTGCAATATTTCTATTCCAGGTTGTTTTAAGTACCGAGTTATCAACTTCAAACAGTCTACTGGAATGGAATCATTACCATGATCATCAACAGCTAAAAAATTTACTTGAAAAAATTCATGAAAAATGTCCTAATCATACAGCGCTGTATTCGATTGGAACTAGTGTTCAAGGACGAGAGTTATATGTTATTGAAATCTCATCAACTCCTAACCGACATGTTCCGCGTAAGTTCCCTAACCATTACTAAAAAAAAAAAAAAAAAAAAAAAAAAAAAAAAAA